GCTCACCCGACGGGCCCAGGGGAGGCCTGCGGGCGGCCTTGCAACCTCAGAGGCCGAAAGGAACCCCACGGGATGGTCTGAAACGAAAACTTTTTAAACTAAAAGCAGCTTATGGAGGGTCGTCAGGTCCTAGGCCTGAATCATCCTGACAAAGGTCCATGTTTACGGGCACTGAGCCTGTCTTGTCTTTTTGCATCTGGGATAACAAATCCCTGGGACGTCAGGGTAATTTCCCTTTTTTCCGGACCCCTCAGGGCCCAGGCTCCCCTCTGCGGAGACCACAGGTCCCCTCGTTGTCATCGCGTTAATTGTTGAGTCAACCATCCTGCACCCGCCTGAGTAAAAGACGTGTGTCTGTCATTTCACTTTCTACCCAACCCCGGAGGTTTTCCCCGCATCCGTCACCCGTGGATTTCAGGGGGACCCCCTTACGTCTCCTCTTTGGGTTGTGACACATGAAACAAGGGGCAGGGCTGCCGTTCCCCGGAGCGTTGTCGACGGTTTGGCTGAAATAAACTCACAAAAATTCTCTATAGGTTTGAATGCTTCTTCCTTTGACAGGCGCACGGGGTGGGGAGATATCACCACCTGTGGAGCGCGCCAGGGGGGGCAGGTGGCCCTTACCTGGAAGTTTCCGTGGTGGGAATCGAAGAGCCCAGGGAAGGTGAATTTGGGGTCAGGCACATTGGGCATGAGCAGCTTCTTAACCCTGAAAGGGTCCGGGAGAGTCTGGTCAGACGGGGTAACTCCCTGGACTTCCGAGGTCATCAAGCTGGGGGCCGATGGCCATCAGGGAGCTACGCCCCCAATATCCACTATTGGGATACGGGCTGTTTGGAGCTGAAGGCCACCGAGAGGATGTCTCTGCCTCTCGGCCCTCCCCCGTCTGCCTAAAAGCGAGGCATCCATACCCCCGTTTTGCAAAGGAAGTTTCCGTTCGAGGGAGGCGCCCCCCTCTCCCCGCCGCCCCCCTCACCAGGAAATGGAGAAAGAGTCTTATCTCCGGAGGTGACATCGAGATAATTCTGCGCGGAGAACCTTTATCTACCGTTCGTTTCCTTCGCACATTTTCGGCTCACCTTCGCGCCATGAACCCCCCGTAGGGCTTCAAACCCCGGTACTTTTGCCGAGTCGCTTTTTCCCAATTTACCGCTCATTGTTAAAATGGTATATAACCACTACCCACCCTCAGACTAACCGCGTTCGGGGTTTTCATTTATTTTCTGTGATGCCCCGTGCACATAAAAATGTTGCGTTGATAGAGAAATAGATGCTTTCTCTCCTAAGCGTCTCTTTTTGGTCAGTTTAATTCACACCCCCCCGTGCACAGAACCTAAGAGGTTGTAATTTTACACGATTCTAATTCGATATGACGGGCGTCCTTGTGACAAGGGAGAGGGATACCAGGCCTGTGGGTGCACGTGGAGGAAAGATCACGTGAGGACACAGGGAGGAGACACCCGTCTCCGTGCCAAGGAGAGAGGCCTCAGGAGAAACCAGCCCTGTCCACACCGGGACCTCAGACTTCCAGCCTCCAGGACTGGGAGATACAGGCCTGTTGTTTGACGCCCCAGTTTGTGGCCCTTTGTTCCGGCAGCTCCAACGAAACCATACAGCTGAGTTCCCCCTCGTGGGACACGGAGAGACAGGGCCCGTGTGATAGGTTATCCCTCGGTGGCCCTTGAGGGTCGTTTCAATTTGATATTCAAACTTCCCGACATGGTCCTGGCCGGTGTGGCTCAGCGGTAAGAACGTCAGTCCCAGCACCCTGAAGGGTCGCCGGTTAGATCCCCGGTCAAGGGCACATACCTGGGGTGCACGTTCGATCCCTGGCCCCGGTCGGGGTGCGTGCCTCCCAGTCAATGTGTCTTTCACATCAATGTTTCTCTCTCTCTCTCTCTCCCTCCCTTCCCTTGTCTCTAAAAAAATCTATGGAAAAGAAATATATATCCTCTGGTGAGAATTAACAGCAGCTAAAACCAGAGGAGCGGTTTTGGGTGCGATGCTCCGGTAAATAACCACTGGACGGCTCTTCTTCTCCCCCACTTCTTGGACCTGTTGGAAGCAAAGCCCTCTGCCCGTGTGCCCAACGGTCCCCGCGGGGGGTCATCCTTACCTCCATATCTTCCACAGGCACAAGACGAAAAGGAACAGCGTCAGCGAGGCCACCATGCAGTAAATGAAAACGAATCTTGAGAAAAGCGTTTTCTCCTGGCATGAAGCTACGGCAAGACAGACGGAACGGGTGCTGTTAGATGTCCACACGATGCTCGATTGAGCGCCAGCCCCCCGCCACCGCCCCCCCC